AGAGGGCTTTACCTAACCATTTAGGGAACTTTTAGTGCCAGTGGAAAGCCAATTAAAGAGTTATGTATTTCTATCAAATACTCAGATCACTGTTGAAAAGCAAAAATATTCAGAACTCAGCATTTCAGATGATTAGTCGTGGAAGAACAAATTTCAGGAATTAAACCACCACAATTTGCAAACTGCTTGTTTTGACTCTGAGCCAAACCCTGTGTGTTTGGTGAGTGTCAATACACCTTTATTCATAAGCTTATGTCTCAAATGATTGGATTCTGTCAATAACCAAAATTACAAAAAGTTTTGCATAAATGTAATTTATATGCAAGCACCACAATGTACTAGTTAGTTTCATTATTGTTATGCCACAGAGAAATGAATATGTTGTCTTGCCTTACATTCATCACTATCAAGAAAGTTTTGTTGAGCAACCCGTAATAGTCTAAGATCAAGAAACTGAACAGAAGTTTTTAAAAACGTAATCAGAGTTCCCTAAGGAAGTGACAATTAAGCAAAGACCTTAAGGAGGACTCAGAGCTGATTAGATGAAGAAAAGCAAGGTTAAGAAGAAGAATTGTCTTCAAGGCCAAGGGGAGGGCTCATTTCAAGGCCCTGTGGCAAGGAGAGAGCCAGGTTCGCTGCTCCTGGGATGTCAGGAAGCTTAAATGAGATCATTCCAGGAAGGCACTGGCGCTCTACCTAATGTGCCTGGTCCACCATCTGCACTCAGAAAGTGTTTCTTATGATTAGCTCACATTTTGAGGCAACTGAGGGCTGATATGTGTCTGCATAGGTGTACCTCGAAAGCAGTGTGTGACCTTGCAGCTTCCACAGTAAGAATGTGGTTCTTGATAGTGTCTGTGATGCTTCAGTGACTCATCAACTCCCTAATGTCATTCCTCTCCAAGGAACTCGTTCCTTCCTCCATATCTGCTAACTCCATACCGGGGCTTTGCCAAGTGCCCTCTTTTCTTATCCAGCCTGCGGAGTCGTCAAGCCGCACTTGACTATCCACACGTGTCTATCTCTGTCCTGGTATCTCTAAGAAGATTCCACAGGACGTGCAAATGGCACTGATGAAATTACTTCCAAAACTGGTTGTGACCCACTCAGGCACCCCAGGCTTTATGGGCCTTTAGAAGGATTTAGGCATGGTCCTTCCTCTTCGACCTTCTTTTAGTCTGGCGCTTGATGAGAGGCTGGCTCCTCACTGTCTGACAGCCTGCCAAAGGACAGGCTGGCTTTACTACTTCCTCCACATCCACTTCCCACCATTATTCTTCCCTTGACAAGCCTACTGCCTTGAAAGCAAAACCAGGGAACCCTCAGGTCTACACATTGAGATTTTCAAGGGTAGGTCGGGTTTATCTGCCCCAGGCTGGCCCCGATCTTCGTTTGCATCGGTTCATCAGCTCCAAGCTGGGTCCTGAGTCAGCAGAGGTTACTGGCTTGCCTTTGTGCACATGAGTTTTTAAAGCAGCCACCCATAGATAGCAGAGCTTGAATTACTGTGATGCTTGAGGATGATCTTCTGTGGAAACACCCAGAGGAACAGAAGCCTGGTTTGATGCCAACTTTACAGGCTCTTTCACTTCCTCAAGGGTGTGCATTAAGCAGATTAACAATTTATTGTGTAAACCTTCTTCCCTCCTGTTGCTAGCCCAGAAGGCCTGAACTAACCGTTGTTTATAAACACCCAGCTTTGTTTAATATGTGTTAGACCTGGGGACATGTATTATACCCCAAATGTCGGTCTTGTAAATTCTCTGAGCATAAAATCATGTTAACAAATTTGATCAAGAAAAGTATTAGCATGGTCTTGTAGCTGATAAATTAGCAAAGGCCCTTCTCACATCATTCCACCACCCCCACACACAGGCGGCAGGATTCCCAGCCTCCGGGGCCTCTGCTTTGCCTGTAGTCTGCTCCTCTTCCTGCCACTGGGCATCTGAGGACATGCCAGTCTCATGTCACATGCAGCTATTTCCCTTAGTTGTGTGCCAGGCATGCTCTCCAAATCTGGGGACTCTTATTAGAAATCCTTCTAGTCGATTTGGGGAGGAGAATCCTAATTTCTTCTTGCCATTGTCACTTTCTTTCCTCTCTGTCTGCTTTTCCCTGTTTCCCCAGTGAGTCCTGGCAGGTCCTCTCACATCCTTCTCAGCACTCCCAAAAAGAATATCATCATGCTAAATTTTCTCTCTTCTTTCTTCCCTTTCTGTAAGGGATACAAATTCAAAATATGTCCTCCAGCAGAGTAGCTTAACCATATATTTGTAGTTTGGACTTTTGGCTCCACATCTGTAGATTTTCACCATGTCTCTCCAACAGTTTATCTCGAACAGTCTTTGTTTTTCTAAACTAAGGTAGAAGTGCCCCTCTCTAAGAAGGCTATAAATAATCAAAACACATACACAGTTGCCTCTGTCATGCTATGTTTGTGAACTTAGCAGAGAAGCTCAAAAACGCAGGAGCACAAAGCCTATTGACTCAACCCGGCATTTCATACAGTTACTGAATATATGCTGGCTGATACATAGAGAGTCTCTGGAAACGCAAGAACTCATAACATTGGAGACCTTTAGGGAGGAGAACTGAGTTAGTTGGAGCAGAGGTGGGAAAAAATAGTTCCTTCTCACTGTACACCTTTCTATATCATGCATTTCCTATATTTAAAACACATTGTCAGTTTGCTGATGTACCCCAGAACTTAACGTATAATAAAAAAAAAACACACATTGACATCATACCTATGTAATGTCAACAAATAGATAAGGGACAGGCATCCTGATATGTTGGTTACACTAAAGTGATCATATCCAGTGACCATAAGCCCTGTGTGTCATGGGGATTGCTGATGCTGTGTGCAGTTGAGAGACTAGGCTTAGAGCCCAGTTCTGGAGAACTTGCCATGCACTGCGCAATTAGTCCTTTCCACTTGAATTTCCTTTTTGGGAAGAGATGAGCTCCTGAGTACACAGTCCTTTACTCTTCAAGTATTTAGGCTGCATCATCTAGCTGAGGAGCCCCCAAACCACTATAGATATATCCCAGAAGTTTGACAAATACTGCAAAATTAAGAGGAAATATATTTTCAACACACTTTAAATTGCAAAAGTGCATCTGATGGAGAAGAAAAAGTCCATGTGATGGAACAATCTGATAGTAATAAAGATGATAACAACAGTGTATTGAAGCACATTAAATATGAGTTTGTAATTGATGTGTATAATTAAAGCATACAAACAAGCAAAAAAAAAACACACACACAGACACACACACCCTTCTAGATTACCTTTGAAGGAAGCTAAGGAACCAACTATCATTTTGAAAACAAATAAAAGGGGAGAATCAAGCATTCATCCTACCTTACCTATACAAACTGTACTTCGTGATAACCAAATAGCTGACAAAGTTTCTCTTTATGGAAGAATTCCAGGAAATAAATGAAGGAGAAATGATGGAATGTGAATGTCTCAATTTTGCAAAACCTATAAATCTAGGCAATAATTGTCAGTGGCTGATAAGATCATAAAAAAGCGAGTGTCTTTTGTATTTCCTATATATTTGCTATTTTAGATGTAGAAATTTGATTAAACTCAGTCTGATTTTTTTTTCAGGTAGAGTAGCTCATATCATATACTTCTATCAACACACACTTAATGACACAATACACTTATCAAGTGTTCCTCCTAAGAAAATAAAACCTGAATCTAATCAAATGTCTACATCTAATAACAAATTTATAGGAAATACAAAAGAACAAGCTAAATAACACCATGGGGATGTAATCAGCAAAATTCAAACCTTGCACAACTCTTGAGGACAAGCAACCTAATTTCTTCAACAAATAAATTGCAAAGGGGATGAGAAAACAGATGAGAGGGAACCTCTGGATTAAAACAGATTTAAGAGTCAATCAACCAATTGGAAGGAAGCAGGGTTTGTTTAGATCCTAGTTTTAATACACTGTTTAAAAAAAAAAAAAAGATCTATGGGAAAGTTGGAGAAATTTGAATCCTAAGTAGATATCTGATATTAAATTATTGTGAATGTTTTATAGATTAATAGTAAATGATTGTGGTCCCCAAAAGTCCTTATATTTTAAAGATACATATTTAAATATGTATGGCTAAACTAAAAATGTAAAGGAATCTGACATCTGTGCTCACCCACCCTGGGGATTTTTCCCAGGCTCCTCACCCTGCACAGCTCCCTGCCTTTTTGATGAAACCTCTCTTCACTCCTTCCTACATAAAACTCTATAAAAGGACATATAAGAAATTTGTCATGATGCATTATTTCTGGGAGGGGAACTAGAGAACTGGGGATTGGGATGGGATAGGAGAGAAGCAAACTTTGGGGCAGATCATTGTTTGCTCTATGCAGGTAATGCCTCTTCAAAGGACTAACCAAAAAATAAATGAAATATGAGAAGTTCCTTAGAATCTTGAAATGCTTATTCAGGAGATTGAGAAAGGCAGAGACTCATGTTGTTGAGCATGTGGATGGATTGACCCAGACCGTATTTCTCAAAGTACGGTCCCTGGACCATCTGCAGCAGAATTGGGCCCATCTCCTTCCCTCCCAGCCAGAATTTCTCAGGGTGGAGCACAGAGACAATGGGAACTACAGTTCTTGACGACCTAAGTGCCAGCTTTTCAAATACTTATTATATTGTTTTGGAACTTTGGAATGCATAGGACAAAAATATTCCCAAATTTAAATTCAAAGCAGCACAATTCTGAAAGTCTAAAAGACTTTTTTTAGGTTTGTTGACAATGATTTAATCAGCAGATGTCACTATGTAATCCTTGGGAATATCCCTTCCACATCGCCTCATTTTTTGGAGAGGCAGAGTATACTGCTGGCATTGTAGCACTGAAATATTTATGGTAATTTTGTACTTTGTTTAATGAAAATAATTTTTCTTTTGTTTCATTGCTTATTAAAAGTTTATCTTTGATTAAGCATTCTTTGCTTTTCTTTTTGTTTTTCCCCAGCATCATTGACAAAGAAGTTTCATTAATGGCAGAAATGGATAAAGTTAAAGAAGAAGCCAGTAAGTAGACGGCACATGGTTATTTGATTAGGAGCTTCCCAATCAGAAGGAATCCATAGGTCAGACTGACAATGATACTAGATTCTGAGCTGGGTCCTAAAATTTATACTGAGATTTTGGCTCATGAACTCTGTAACCTTAGGCATGTCACTTAGCCCCTGGAACCTCATTTACATCATCTGGCAAAAGGATATAGCTGTAACACTCACCTCATACAGGTGACTGCATGGCAAGATGCACACTCAATACATAATAGGTGTCAGTTGAGTTTTCGGAAGTCCAAGGGGACATTTGTGCACATAAAGACCTCATAGTTAATTGGATTTTAAATGACATTGAATTTAGTATTACATTTTAAGACAATTTTAAGTCTTTACAACTTATAAATCTTGGTATATTATTTACATCATCATTTTTACTAGGTTTTTTTTAGGTTCAATTAAGTTTATCATATTACATTTTTCTAGAAAAGTAGTTCCATTTGAAACTTAATTACTTAAATTCCCCTCAACATTTTAAATTACATATATAAATTTAATATATCCCATTTGTCTTAAGCACTTCAGATGTCGGACAAGGCAAACTCGCAAACCTAATAAGCAACGTGTTCCTATGCTTTTAAGTAACTCTTGTAAGATTAATAATTCAAAATTAAAGGTATACTAAACAGAGTTTTCTTAAAATACTCCAGTTCTATTCATGAACTTCATCAAATACACTGACACGTGCCAACTTAAAACCACAAAAGGAAATCAATTCCATATTTTAAATTGAAAATCACAAATCAGATTGCTTCATGTACCAAATTCTCTATTTAAATAATGAACACACTCAGATTATCTTGATCATTGCAAAACTTAATCCTAAATTTAACATAAAATATTGACATTCTTGGTTTGACTTGTTTTATTTCCTTTATGCTGATTTAAAAACCTTTAAACTGTGGTAAAGTTACTTGAGTAGTAGTGAAGAGTTACCGCCTTAGATAGACTGAGGCTCATGAGTTGGAAATTTCAACAAAGACAAGATTACTCAGTCAGATTCACATCAAGCTGCAAGTGACTGTGCTGGGCTGTCTTGTATTACTGAATTTAGTTTTCTGTGTTAATGGGGCCCCTAAGACTTTATTTTTCAGCTCAATTCTTGTCTCCTGGGCATTTTAAATTCCTCATCTTTACCCAGAGATGAATTGGATAAATGGCGATCTATGCCCTAACCAGATTTCAGTGAAATCCCTTTACCTTTAACTGTGATGTCTTTCTTTTTGCCAGAATGAAAGATCAGACCAGATTCTTTATTCTTTTCTATTTTTCTTGTCTGGACCTAGGCCATAATTCAAGTGTCATTTTGTGGAAAATAGCTATCATTATTTTTGTTACACAGTTTTCTCAATTATTTTGTTATTCATTTCAGACCTCGTTTAGTCAGGCATCTAAATAATTTTAAGCAACATTTTAGAACCCTGAAATAGAGCAAACTTTATTAAATGAAACTAATGTGATCCAGGGTGAAGCTACGGAATATTTAGGTAATTAATCTCTTTGATTGTGAAATTATTTTATTCTTATGAAATTTATTGATATCTTCAGTAAAAGTAGATTATACACACAACTTGGGATTTTCCCTACTTCTCAGTTATAGCTTATTTTAGTTTTACATCCTAAGGATAAAAATGCTAACAACCAACACAGACACAAATGATCCTCTTGAACCAAAACAGAAAGTCACTAGCACATCATCACTTTCTTAGAGGTTAACTAAAGACCTCGGGTTTCGTGTACTCATTCTTCCTTCTTGGGACATGATAATGTTTGATGCCAAGACCTGTGGACTTTGGAGCATCTCTGGAGAGCATCCCATTTTAAAAACGTAAATCAATAAATACGTGGGCTTCCTTGTGTCCAGGATAAACAGCAAACAGATGTAAAGCCTGCACTCATCAAGCTTTCAGGCTAGCTGAAACTGCTAGATTGGTTGACAGGGTTCACCTAACCTCAGTAATTGGTGCTGCAGGTTTTTGGACTACCCTCAGCCCTGGGGAAGCCCATTTGCATGCCTTTGAGGCAGGTGGAACTGAGTTCGAGTTCAAGTCCAACCTCCATCTCTAACTGGCTGTGTGTCCTTGAACCATGTTGTTGACTTCTCAAAGTCTGAGGTTTCTGGCAATGGCTCACATGTATAATCCCAGACCATTTGGAAGGCCAAGGCAGGAGGATTGCTTGAGGCCAAGAGTTAGAGACCAGCCTGGGCAACATAGTGAGACCCCCATCTCTAAAAAAATAAAAATTAAAAATAAATAAGCCACATGTGGTGGCATGTGCCCATAGTTCTAGATATTCTAGAGTCTGAGAGGAGTGAATCACTTGAGCCCAGGAGTTTGAGTCTACAGCAAGCTATGATCATGCCACTATACTCCAGCCTGGGTAATAGAGACCCTGTACTAAAAATAACAACAACAATAATATCCATCTCAAGTAGTTATTATAAAGATAAAGTGAAAAAATACAGGCACTTGACACAAAGCCTGATACAATATGTGTGCAAAAAGGGAAGAGCTCTTATTAGCAAATTACCCCGACCCCCTCATATTACAGTCAAAAAATGGAGATCAGGGGTTCTACTGCATCTCTCAAATAACAAGCCTGCATCAACACTATGTCTTCTTCACAGATAGAAGAAACCATGGATTTCTCCTCATTAACTACAGAACTGTCTTTCCAACCACCTTCTTTAACTTGGTTCTCTGTGGTCTCAAGAGAATTTTTCACACTTTCCATTTCCCGTAGACGTTATAAACCATATTTCCTTAATTATAACAGAATCTCCTAAATCCCTCATGGCACCTAACATAGTGCTGAGAATTCTGTAGGTACTTCATAAATGTTTGTTAAATGAGTTATTGTAAATAAATCAGTATCTATAGACTGTGGGAACCAATGTTAATAAACACTCGTGTAAGTGCAAAAAAAGAGGAGGTATATTTTAGATGAATAGATCTCACTTTATTAATAATATTTAGAGTTAGCATTTTGAGTATACTATACTAAACACCTCACATATGTTATTCCATTTATTTCCACAATAACCCTCCAAGATGTCATCAATTCCTACACAGATTTGACAGAAGAAGAAACTAAGCATGTTGTAGTGCTAGGGTCTCAAACTTCATGTTTATCCCCAGGAATTCACAGGTGTCAAGTTCACTAGAGATAAGGGAAGAAAACATTACTTTGTAAATTAGTAGTAACACAAACAAATTATGAAGTAGAATACAAAATTCACAAGAATTTTTAAGGAATATAAAGGATTTCAAAGAATCTTTGTGCTTAAGGAGCCACTTCTCTGGCTCCTGGCGCCAACCTTGATTTTGAGTATATTTTCTGCTGAGGGTTATTGTTTGAGAAGCCTTAAGATTTTCTATGGTTCAGATAATATAAGCAAGCTTCCAATGTGTTTCAAAAACTTGAAGGAATTGATAAATCCTATTGAGAAAGTGGATTTCAGCATACCAAATACTGTTTATACACGCATAATATTAATTAAGTCTTGAATGCAGTGAAAACCTAAGCTGTATGGAACTGTCTCCCTCTACAGATTTCCAAAAGGATGGTGCTTTCAAAACATACTTATTGTTCTATTTTAAATTACAGGATCAGTGAAGCTTAAGATCTGATCTGTTTTTGTTTTTTGCTTGTGTGATTGATGTTTTTGAGGTGAAAACATTCCCCACCCCCCCCCACCAAAGAATATTGGCTTTAGATCTCAAGTTTTAAGGCATTTTTCATAACGAAAGGCTTTGAAATGTTACTGAGACTATATGTAAAACTCATTCCAACACTTGCTGATGCAAAGTATTTATTTCCGTGCATATTTGCATAAGTGTAAACTCAGAATTTATTGGTGATCTTGCACCTGCATTCCTATTTTAGGGCCCATTTATATCTATTTCTACAAAATCTTTTGTTTGGTATGAATGCCCAAGTTCTACTTAATCAAAAACAACAATGACCCCTAATTGTCACCAATCTCACAAATGATCCATGAAGAAAAGTCAGGTCTGTTGGACTGTGTCATCACTGAGGGTCTGCTGACCCCTTTACTAGCCGCTTTTCAAGTCTGGGCCTTTAGATTTTTTATTATTATTATTATTATGTTGATGAGATAGGGGACTTGCTTTGTTGCCCAGGCAGGTCTCGAACTCCTGAGTCAAGCAGTCCTCCTGCCCCAGCCTCCCAAAGTGCTAGATAACAGATGTGAGCCACTGCGCCCAGCATAGAATTAATTTTTCATTTTAGTTTGCAAGAAGAATGTATCTCATTTCATCTTCCTACTTGAATTGTTTTCTTATGCTGTAGATGTTAGTCCCATCCATATGTTGAATTATAATGGCAAACAAATCACATAACTAATCAAAGGTATGAATCCTAAACAGTCTTAAGTGACTCCTGTAGAAAAGGAACTCCCATCCTTCTTTAGATATTCCCTTTAAGTAACTCATTAATTCATTCATTGACTTCTTCACTCAACAAGCATATTGAACACCCCTTGTATACCAAGTAGGTACTAGGTGCCATGGACACAAAGAACTACATGGTACAGTTCACACCGTACTCCCGAGAATGATTGGAGGTGCTCACAGGGAACAGATAGGTAACATTAATGTGCCAAAAGGTGCAGGGGGAAACCGTGGCACACTGGTTGCCCGACTCCATCTAAGGAGGGCAGTGACTTCTTGGTTTCAGCCACTTGTTGCCATGTAGGAATGTTGACCAACTGTGGCCAGAAATTCCAGTACTTTAAGAGATGCCAGAGAGCCAGCTTTCAAATGGAATCTTCTAATTTTTAAATGTGGGCAATTAATTTGTAAAAGCAATGTGTGGACCAAACAAGACATATGTACTCTGGCTGAAAATGATGGTGAGCCACCCTTTTTGTGACCTTTGGTCCAACTGGGTGTCCTGAGACATCACTCAGCAATATATTGTCTACGTTGAGATGAAACTTCCTTTCACTCTCATCATCCAGACAAGTTTTTCACTAGCTCCCCTGTATTCAGAAAGACTATTAGGCACAGATCCGTCTGCCCGGCCACATGGTATTGTAAATGAGGATCAGGAGGAGCCCCAGTTAAATAATCAAAGCATGATTAGCATAGTTTGACAGACGATAAAGCTGTATGTGTTATAGACTAATTATTTTATTAACATCTCAACATTGATATCAGCATGAAAAGATTATGTCTTTCAGTGTGTCTAAAGAATGGTTTATGATTTGCAGGGAATCTTAACTCTTGGTGGATTCTGTACTTTTTGGGGGCTTTTGCGGTGATTATCATTTGATAATTTGTGTAATAAGAACTCTTAAAATCAGAAATCATATTGTTTGGCCCTGCGTGTGTGCTGTGAATCTGGTCTAATAAAGCAGTTGATCCTTGTTCTGCCAAGCATGGAATGTGAGTCCAACATGCATGTCATCTTAGATGAACACCTCTTTTCTCATAACTCAAAATGCTCATCCCAAAGAAATGAAGACAATTCATATATGAGTTGAATTAGAGAGCCACAAGTCTATCTATTGAAAGATCCAACTTCATATTTAAACCTCATCTTATGCGTTTGTATTAATTGCTTCTGAGCTCCATAATCTTTTGGGAAACACATGTATAAACACACAAACACAAATTAACCGATAGGTTACTACATCTATTTAAACCTCTAGTTCATCTGAAGATGTGTGAAAATGTTGGAGCCCGAGTACTCCTTAGTGTCTTCTCTACGTGTGCAGGTGCTAAAACATTCACACGAATCTAGTTCTAGCTGGCCTCACTCGCTCTCGAAATTTTTCCACTGGGGACACTTACAGAAAGACCTAAGACACTCTGGGGTAGAACTTCTCTTTCTTTGCAGAATGGAAACATATCTGCAAAGTATCAAAAGCAGAGACATTTTTGGCTCACAAAAAACTGACGAAGTTAGATTTTTATGTCAGATTCCAATAACACATCTAGTCACCCTAAATGAGTATGTGTTAAAGTTCAAGAGGGCTGCTGCTGTTAAAGTTTAATAGTGTAGCACATATAGAATGATTTCTGCTTAGTGGACTTCCTGTCTTTGCATTATCACTCAGAGAGGACTTTAATAAGTATTGTTTTTCAGAGATCGTTGTTCCGAGTAACTGACAAATTTCAAAAGTCTAAATTCCATAAGTGAGGTCAGACACCAGTGAAGAAAATGCAGAGTGGGAGTGTACAGTGAATCAGAACGGACTGTTTGGCTTGGGGATTGGTGGAGGAGGGTTGTTGGCAGTAGACACCAAGGGTAAACCCGCCTCCGTGACCACCTCAGAAAACACAGTCATGGTCCAACAAAGCAATCAGTCTGTGGAGCGAGAACTGATGCCAAGAAATTAAGTTATTTAATATGTTTCAATCTCTGGCCCTAATGTGTGACTCCTCCTCATTTGGCAGTGGAAATCCTGACCACTCGTCAGAAGAAAGCAGAAGAACTAAAGAGACTTACTGACCTTGCCAGTCAGATGGCAGAGATGCAGCTGGCCGAACTCAGGGCAGAAATTAAGGTCAGTTCTAAAATATCACAGCCTGAACCCTGAGCCAGAGAGCTGATCCCCATTATGTTTGTTTTGCATCCACAGAGTGCTGCTCTCTGAGGATCTAACATCTACACCTAGCTCTCTTTCACAGGGTGGAAATAGAGAACACAAAAGGGGGAAGACCCACATAATCACTGTGTTTAAGTGTAAAGTGTTTTGAAGGAATGTTTTACTCCAGAGGAGAAGTACAAGCTGTTTTGTCAGTCAGTAGAGACCAACCCAAATAAAGTAACTTGGCCATGAATTATAGCTGGGATGGGGGATATTATTTTAACACACTGTGATTTATAGGTATGTATATAAACACATCCACAGGTATATACACACACATGAAGCATGAATGTAGTGTAACAGTGAGGATTAGAAAGCATGCAGTCTGTGGAGATTTCTTTCCTATATTATTTTCTAGTTTAGTCGCATTTTTATTAAGAATACTACCCATTAATACATATTTATTTGATTCCTTCATTGATATGCAACAGAAACTGACCCTGGCTAACCTCAAGGACAAGTAGAATTTGAAAGGATGTGAGTATAGCTCACCAAAGCAGAGCCCTATCTGAAGGCTCAGGTCAACAATTAGGCAGGAACTGGGGTGGCTCAGGTAAAATAAGAAGCAATAATCACTAGACACGCTCCTATGGGACCCTCAGCCCTGTACCACCCCACTCGGCTCAGATCCCTAAGCGAGAGGTTCTGATTGGCCTCCACTTGGGTCATATCCATCATTTGGCCCAGACAGGGTGTGACATCTTGATTGCCAGACCCACCGAGACTATGGCTCTTTGAAACTGTGTCAGGGTACAGTTACCAGAAGGGGAAATGGTTACCAGGAACACACACACACACACACACACACACGCACACACACGCACACGTGCGCGCGCCCTTAAGCTTCTTACCCACTTCCAGGAAACTAGAGTGGTTGTAAGACACAGCTGCCGCTAGCTTGAGGAGTAAGATTGCAAGTTGGGGCATAAAACTGGTTGGCAATGATAGACAGTGGCAAGTGACCCCCCTCCTGGCTGGGTCCGAAAGCAGGCCCTGTGGGGAGAGGACCTTGCCCGAGGGTGCTGAGGGTGTCAGTGGCCTTTCTCTTCTTACATTCTGTGCTCTGGCCTCTGTGGCCTCCCACCCAGCCAATTTCAGTGGCCTCTTCACTAGTCTCTCTGCCTACACTGTCTCCCTCTAGCCTCATACTCCACGAAGATTTAATTTCCCAAAGCAGATCTGGTTTCCCCCATTATATCTCCTTCCCCTCAGAAAAAAATTCTCAACTGGACTCCAATATATATGCCAACTTCCATCTCCCCCTACAAAAATCCCAGCTTGCTAGAACATCAAGTAAGATATATAAAATTGCCAGCTTCCTGGTCTATTGAAATCAACTCATCTTCCAAGTTTCATTTCTGCCTGTCAAAATCCCACCCATCATAAAACGGTTAGTAGCACAGGCGTTGGAGTGAAACAGTCCAGCTGCAAAATTTCCTACTTCTGTGACCTTGGATAAATTACATGTTCTCTTAGATTCTTAGAACCCCAACTCCCCCATCTGTAAAATAGAGATAATAGTACTGACTTCATAATACTGTGATCAGATGAAATGAGATTATCTGTTAAGAATTTGGCCAGTGCCTGGTAAGTGTTACAATAATTTTTTTTTAATTTCTCTTTTACATAATCTTTCCCCATTGCCCTCAGTAGGAAATAATTTCTTCCTCTTTTATATTCCTGAAGCACCAATCACATTCCACCTTGTATTGTAGTTAGTGGTATCTGTTTTCCTTGCCATTGCTAAACTCCCTGGTAAACTCAAGAAAGAACTGAGTCACAGTTATTTCTGTATTTCTCACCCTGTCTTCTAGATGTAGATCTTAATTTTAAATGAATTGAAAAATAATCTCTTTCTCACTTCTTTTCACAGCACTTGAAATTCTGCCATTTAAGATTGTATTTTCCAGACACTAAAGGCTTTGTGGACTTCCCGGTTCCCTATTAAAATAGGGATGGGGGTCTAGGAAGGACGACATGTTTTCTCTTGATGGTCAATACCTTAGCAGGCACTCGGCCAAACTCAGAAGACCCTACCAGAATGCAATTCAGAAAATTACTAGGAGGGCGAGGGGTGCTAAAAGGTTAAATAGATGAGTCAGACACGCATTCCATGTAGGCCCAGACAAGAGAAACACAGGACGCCACATATTCCCCAGGCAGGAAGATGGTCATGCCCCAGCCAGGTCAGGACCAAGACTGAGCACAAAGCCTTCCAGCAACAGGGCTGGAAAGATCCCCACCAGGTCAGCACCGCAGTGCGCGCTGGAAGAGCAGAGTGAACGCATCCACAGGGTGCCTCGGTCATTTCTGTAATCGTGGGGCTCCTGCTTTCCATCTCTTTCCTCCAGCACTTTGTCAGTGAGCGTAAATATGATGAAGAGCTCGGGAAAGCTGCCCGGTTCTCCTGTGACATCGAACAGCTGAAGGCCCAAATCATGCTCTGTGGAGAAAGTAAGTTTTGCATACTTGCTAAATAATTCTGTGTGAGTAAGCTTGGTGCTATTTGGAGTTGCTATAGGAAATGTCAGGTGGGCAGTCCCCCCAGGGGGCTAAAATGAGGTCTAAAAAGATTTAATGATCTAAGCTCATGACACAAGTCACCAGAAATGTCAAGATTTGAACTTAGAGTCTTCAAATGCCACTGCCCTTCGGTAAATCCCCAGGATTTATTAAGTGGAACAGAACAGGTCAACTAGTTTATACCTTTCGCAAACTTTTCTTAAACACCATCAGTTAAACTGCCTCTCTGATTTCAAATAGCCCTGGTTCTACAGAAACTTGTCAGGCAGAGAGTGAGTCTTCCTAACGTGTCCTAACATGTCTGGAAACAATCAGTTATTGTTGTGCAGGGCCCAGCTGTTGTGTGAGCTCCTCAGCAATGCCCTGAGCCTCTGCCCTTGGTTCTCTGTGCTGAGTGAGGTCTGCAGATAATGAAAGACTCCACTCAGCCATTAGGTTTAGGCTTGTTCCCTATTAAGCCTTAATTAGAGCAGCTAATGTGCAACAAAATTGGCTGCTATATTTTCCCCTACACCACAAGGGGAGGTGGGAACGAGCACTGAAGTGGCTTTAAGGACAGCCGCAAGGAGGAAAGAAGGACTAGTGAGTGATGCAGAAACCCACAGCCTTGCAGTCAGCTGAAAAATCAAGATTTGGCTGCACTTCCTATTACGGTATAATTAACTATACTGTGCTATACTGTATGCATGTATAGTAATACAATTTGCTTTTATCACTTCACAATCTATGGTAGATATTTTTTCATATCAACATATTTAACCAGTCATTTCTGTAAATATAATTGATGTCAGCAGTCTTCATGTTGCTGCATTTAGACTGCTTCTAGTTTTTCACCATTAAAATAACACAGCTGATCACCTGAGGTCAGAAGTTCAAGGTTAGCCTGGCCAACATGGTGAAACCTTGTCTCTACTAAAACTACAAAAATTAGCCTGGCCAACATGGTGAAACCCTGTCTCTACTAAAACTACAAAAATTAGCCAGCCATGGTGGTGTGTGCCTGTATTCCCAGCTACTTGGGAGACTGAGGCACAAGAATTGCTTGAACCCAGGAGGCAGAGTTGCAGTAAGCCAAGATCACACCACTGCACACCAGCCTGGGCGACAGAGTGCAACTCTGTCTCAAAAAACAAATAAATAAATAAAATAAATAACACTGCTGTGAGCATCCTTGTCCACACATCTTTGGCAATTATTTGATTTTTCTGACTGAATTTTTAAAAATTATTTTCGTTTTTTTCCCCCATACTCTTCCTTATGAAAGAATTTACCTATTTGCCATTCTCTATCCAGAGCTTTTGCCCCATCTCTAAAAAAAAGGGAACAGTCCGGTTCACAGTTGTAAAGGGAACTGCCCACCCTTCTTTCCACGTCAGCCCTCAATGAGCAAGACAGTGATGCTGAGTGATGCCCTGTCACCCATCTCAGGTGCGGTGGGGAGGCACCGCTTCACCTCCTTTCCTCCTGAGCATTTCAGGTGCCATCTAGTGGGAGTAATGGTCTCTTACTAAATTCCAGGTGTCCATTCTGAAAGACAGAGACCATAATTGTCCGAAGGCTTTTCCTTCTCAGCTTTGTTGAGAGCACATTGAGAACCCACAGGTACCGGTAGTGAACCGGAAATAGTGGTCCCTGATCTGCAGACAATAATGACCTTCTAAAACTGAATCTGGTGAGCACAGGAGCCACAGAAATCCCCTGGTCACATTTGGACAGGCCCAGCTTGCTGTCACACCTTCCCAATACAATGAAGACACCAGGAATGCATCCCTGGCCTTTCCATTTCTCCTGTATTGTGATCTTTACTGGTCCCGCCTAATCCTCTAGCAGAACCCTGGGATTAAACCTGATCCATCAAAGGGAACAGACAAAATAGCTTTCAAAAATTGGTGACAGTTTTAAGAATCAAAGAAAGCTCTAGCTGGCAGTCAGATTCTGGTGAACTGTGAGAGGGAAGTCATGGTTTTATCCTTGAATTGATTCCCTCCAGTTCCAATTCAGTGTAATCACATAGAAATCATCCCAGCAGAAACCATCACTTTCCAAAGCAGCAGGAATGGTCATAATAAATGCTGAGCAGACCTGCCTGAGCCTTGAGCCCTGAGCCCTGATGGGGGTCTGCCTGATCAGCTTGCCTTGCCTATGACCTTGGAATTGGTGCACATCTGCAGTGAGGCTGCAGAAAACGGGGCTGATTAAAGGTGGGATAATGGAGCGATAATGAAATATACAAGATGCTTTAGGGGCTAGCAGGCCTGGCCCTGTGTTTGGGGGATATGCCTGACCCAGAGTAGCAGAATTCCTAACATCCAGTATCACCCCATTCCCAAACTCTAAGAACATCGTGCCTCTGACAGGCCAGAGTGCCCACATAGCTCCCAGTCTTTCTGTGTCTGCAGTACCCATTGGTCCAGGGAACTGATCAGGGAGGTGAGAATGGGTTTGGTAATGGGGAATCTCGAGACAGAGTGCATTTACAGACAGGGTCAGAGAGGGAATCTTGAGGTTTCATTATCTCTTTTCCCTTGGTGATTCTTGACCTAAAGAATAATATTTAAGTTGCTCAGATATGTCTTATTTCTTACAAATGTCTCACAACTTGGATGATTATGCTGTAATCACAGTTCAGTGATTCCCACAGGAGAAATTTGGTTGTTCCCTTAAGCACCAAGGTGCCCTTTCAAATAACATCTTTCAAAAGAAAACTTTCTGAAAGTTTTTGTAGAGATCCTGGCCAGTTTCTTCATCTTCTAGCACTTCCTAATGGGTTACTGAGGCAGCAGTGTTGAAGGTGCAGCTCGTAACACTGAGCACTTTCTTGTTGCAGTTACACATCCAAAGAACAACTATTCCTCAAGAACTCCCTGCAGCTCCCTGCTGCCTCTGCTGAATGTGCATGCAGCTACCTCTGGGAAACAGAGTAATTTTTCCCGAAAATCATCCACTCACAATAAGCCCTCCGAAGGCAAAGCAGCAAACCCCAAAATGGTGAGCAGTCTCCCCAGCACCATCGACCCCTCTCACCAGGCCATGCCAGCCAACAAGCAGGTAAGCAGACACCGGTGCAGGGTACCAGGGGGTGGGGGGAACCCTGTTTCCAGAGGAAGAAAACAGCAACTACTAGATGCTGGGCTTCCTGGGGTCACACTCAGGCTCCTTCCATCTGCCCTTACCCACTCCCCACCCAGCAGCACTGCCTAACTGGCCTCCAGGGAACTCCCCTGGTCTCTCTCGTCTTTGCCTCCCAGGTGCTTTCCCATGTGGAGGAAGTGGCCTGAATACACTCTTGACCCCATGAGCAGACAGTCCACCCAAGTGAGGCTCATGGCTACGATAACTACCATCCCTGGGGCCCCAAAACCAGCCTACATGTGGAAGGGACCCACAGAGACTCAGGAACAAGATTCAGAACCTGGCCACTGAAACTACTAATGACAGGAAACCTGGCATTTGTTTTTTAAGATATTTTAATCTCCACTTATGTTGAGTTGATCAGTAAGAGGCTAAAGTTAGTGCAATCTTCTCTTGAGATTTCAGCAAAGAGAATACATTTCAAAATGACATTCTTTATTCTTATCTACTATGACGTCTAAAAACACAAGTGCCCAAAGAACAATCTTTCTTCTCCTTCTGCTTCTCCAGTATGTCTTTGGGAGGTTTTAGAGCATTAACAAAAAATTGGGATCTACCAGGTGCAGTGCTCAGACCTATAATCCCAGCACTTTGGAAGGTTGAGGTGGGCAGATCACTTGAGGTCAGGAGTTTGAGACCAGCCTGGGCAACACGATGAAACCCTGTCTCTACTAAAAACACAAAAATTACCCAGGCATGGTGGCAAATACCTGTAATCCCAGCTATTGGGGAAGCTGAAGCAGGAGAGTCGCTTGAACCCAGGAGGCAGAGGTTGCAGTGAGCCAAGATCACACCACTGCACTCCAGCCTGTGCACCAGAATTAGACTCCATCCAAAACAAATGGATCTGATGGTATAGACGTTGGGCATGCTATAAAGATACCTTTTATTATCTCCAAGAGAAAGTCTTTTTTTTTCTTCTTTTTTATTTTTGGTAAGTCATTTAAAATGCTGCTTTTCTAACAGGTGTCTTGTTGGGTTTTGTTGTCTTGGCTTTTGAGAATTCGTGTTAATGACATTGACAGGTGTTTCTCAGGCCCTGAAATCTTCATGAGCTTTAAGATAGCACCTTGATAAGGAGCATGTTATAACTTCATTAAAGATCATAATCAATCTGTTTTTACTTGTAGTCTAAATATATCTTCACAACTTTTGTTCATTTTTTTTTTTTTTGGCACAATCTTGGCCCACTGCAGCCTCAACCTCCTGGGCTCAAGCAATTTGCCAGCCTCAGACTGCAGAGTAGCTGGGACTACAAGTGTGTGCCACCATGCCTGACTAATTTTTTTTGTACAATTTTTGTAGAGACAGGGTTTTGCCATGTTACTCTCAAACTCTTGGGCTCAAGTGATCCGCCTGCCTCAGCCTCCCAAAGTGCTAACATTACAGGTGCAAGCCACTGTGCCTAGCCTCTCTGTTCATTATTAAATATCACGCTATAATTAAGTCTAAAATTTAGCCTATGAGTTTTCATTTTTCATAGTTTCTTTAAAAACAAAGGAGGCCAGATTAAGTACTATCTGTATAGATACTTTTTCAATTCTCTGTTTTAGCATTTTAGGTAATGGCTCATTTAAGTTGAAATAGACTCAAATATCTAAGTCAGAACACTGTAAACCCAGGTAAGAAGGGCCCTTGGGCTGGGCCTTGTGTTTTCAAGTAAGCTTTCTTGACCTTGACCCTTGCATAGCCATGGCTCTCTCTACAGAGTAAGGAGTCAGAGAGACCAGGGAGACAGGGCCACTGAAATCTACACTCTGTATTCTGAAGCATGCTGCCAGTCAGCACTCAAGATCCTGGAATTCTATTCCCAGTTGGGCCCACGCCTGCTCACAGGGTCTGTTTGGACCACTTTCCTGTATACATCATCTTGAAGACAAACCACACCTGTTGGTCTGAAGGGTGGGAGTGGAGGCGAAGCTTAGGTGTGCAGGCTGCAATGTCCACATTCATGTGTGCAAGGCCCCCTTACAATGTGGGATGGAGCCACAGTTAGGAAGAGACAGCATTCAGATGTATAGTGTATGAACCCCGAAAATCTGAGACAAGTCTCAGGTAACTTAGAAAATAGGAGAGAGGTCCAAGATGGCTGATCACTAGCAGCTCAGGATTGTAGCTCCCACTGAAAGTGCAGAGAACGAGAGGACGCCACACTTTCAGATCAATTTTTGTTGCTCACGCACCAGGAGATTCCCAGCGGAGGAGCCCCATGTGTCGCCAGCGCGACTCTTGAGGCCAGTGAGGCGGTTTTGCCGCTGCCTTGGTGCGGCAGTTCTTGGTGCAGAGTCAGAAAAGCACCATCAACCTTAACACCGCTGTTTTGGCCGGCACAGTGGGTTGCTCAGATTTTAGTGCTGGGAATCAACAAGTTGGACGTCTATTCAGAAACCCAACTATAAAGACGGTAATTATAAAGACCACAGATGGATAAATTTATAACGAAGGGAAGAAACCAGCCTAAAAAGGCTGAGAATACCCAAAATCAGAACGCCTCTCCCTCTGCAGGGGATCACAGTTTCTCATCAGCAACGGAACAAGGCCTGATGGAGAAAGGCTGTGTTCCATTAGCAGAAGCAGGCTTTAAAAAGTGGATGATAAGAAACTTCTGGGAATTAAAAGAACTTGTTCTAACCCAATGCAAAGAAACTAAGAACTTTGAAAAAAGGTTTGACGAAATGTTAAAAATAACACACAATTTAGAGAGGAATATAAGTGAATTAATGGAGCTGAAAAACACAACACGAGAACTTCGCGAACTATGCACAAGTTTTAATAGCCGAACTGATCAAGCAGAAGAAAAGATATCAGAGGTCGAAGACCAACTTCATGAAATGAAACAAAAAGACAAGATTAGAGAAAAAAGGATAAAAAAGAACGAGCAAAGTCTCCAAGAAATATGGGACTATGTGAAAAGACCTAATGTACGTTTGATAGGTGTACCTGAATGTGACGAAGAGAATCAATCCAAGCTGGAAAATACACTTCAGGATATTATTCAGGAAAACTTTCCCAACCTAGCAAGGCAGGACAATATTCAACTCCAGGTAATACAGAGAACACCACAAAGATATTCCTCAAGAAGACCAACCTCAAGGCACATAATCGCCAGATTCACCAGGGTTGAAATGAAAGAGAAAATACTGAGGGCAGCCAGAGAGAAAGGTCAGGTTGCCCATAAAGGGATGCCTATCAGACTCACAGCAGATCTCTCAGCAGAAACCCTACAAGACAGAAGAGAGAGGGGGCCAATATTCAACATCCTTAAAGAAAAGAACTTTCAACCCAGAATTTTACATCCAGCCAAACGAAGCTTCATAAGCGAAGGAAAAATAAAATCTTTTGTGAACAAGCAAGCACTCAGAGATTTCATCACCACCAGGCCTGCTTTACAAGAGCTTCTGAAAGAACCACTACAAATAGAAAGGAACAACCAGTATCAGCCTTTCTAAAAAATACCAAAAAATAAAGAACATCAACATAATTAAGAAATTGCATCAACTAATGGGCAAAACAGCCAGCTAACATTAAATGACAGTATCAAACTCACATATATTGTTATTAATTCTAAATTTAAATCGACTAAATCCCCCAATCCAAAGACACAGACAGGCAAAAAAAGCCAAGACCCATTGGTATGCTACATCCAGATCCATCTCACATGCAAGGATACACAAAGACTCAAAACAAAGGGATGAAGAAAAATTTACCAACCAAATGGAGAGCAAAAATAAATAAACAGAAAGTAGGAGTTGCAATTTTTGCTGATAAAATAGACTTCAAAGCAACAAAGATCAAAAGAAGCAAAGAAGGATATTACATAATGATAAAAGGATCAATATAACAAGAAGAGCTAAAGATCTTAAATATATACGCACCCAATACAGGAATACCCAGATATATAAGACTTATAAAGAGACTTGGACTCCCACGCAATAATAGTGGGAGACTTCAACATTAATATTTGACAGATCAATGAGACAGAAAGTTAACATTGATATTCAGGACTTGACTCAGATCCGGAACAAGTAGACTTAATTAACATTTATAGAATTCTCCACTTTAAATACACAAAATATACACTCTTATCAGTACTACATCACACATATTTACAGGTTTAAATGAAATATTGATTGGCTGCTTGTTAATTATTTTTTTCCCTCATTTTTTTTATGTCTCTATTATTAAACACAATTACAGGCATACCCATTTTTAGACTGCATTCTAGCCCGGGCAATAAAGCAACAGCCCTGTTCTCTCTGCCTCTTCCTCTTTCTTCTTTCCTTCATTCTTTTTTTTCTTTTTCTTTTTTTTATTCTTTTTCTTTCTTTCTTTCTTTCTTTCTTCCTGAAAAAAAAAAGAAAAAGAAAGTTTATTTTGCCAACGTTGAGGACATGCACCCATGACACAGCCTCAGAAGGTCCTGATGACAGGTGCCCAAGGTGGTGGGGCACAGCTTGGCTTTGTACATTTTAGGGAGACATGACACATCAGTCCATTTGTGTAAGATGCACATCAGTTCAGTCCGGAAAGGTGGGACTACTGGAGGCAAAGGTGGACAACTGGAAGTGAGGAGGGAGCTTCCAGGTCTTAGGTAGATAAAAGACAGATGGTTGTATTCTTCTGAGTTTCTGATTCGCCTCTTCAAAGGAGACAATTAGATATGCATTTATCTCAGTGAGCACAGGGGTGACTTTGAATAAATGGGAGACAGGTTTGCCCTAAGCAGTTCCCAGCTTAACTTTTCCCTTTGGCTTAGTAATTTGGGGTTGCCAAGATTTATTTTCCTTTCCCAGGAGTATGGGCCTACATTTGTACTCTTGCTCTGGGCTCTGAATTATTGGGGGTTGGTCTACCCTAAACCTATACCATCCAGTCACAGTGCACAAATTAAGAACCTTATATATTTGTAACTCATAAAATTACATGTTTTCATAAGAGGTTTGATTTTCAAAACAGGTTTGTGTTTATGTTACAACTTAAGAACCTTGTCAGGAGACAGTATATAAAGTGGGAATAATGCCACCATTTCCCTGCCATAGATAGACCTTGGGCAAGTCCCGGAAACTCCTTATCCTCATCTATAAAATGAAGCACATAATAGCAACTATCTTAAAGGGTGATTCTGTTGTTAAATGAGGTAGTACATGGTGAAGAACCTCACTCAGTGCCTGGTATATGGTAAGTACGCAGTGAGTGTTGGCCATTATTGACCTTGAGGAGTTCAGAAATCTTTTCCTCATACAGGAGCTTAATCCATTGCGTCCCTACACTCATCCATTTATGTTCTTGGCCACTGATTTGCTGAAGGAATGATTTTTCAGTAGAGGCGTCAACATTTCTTTGCTTATAACTGCAGAAAGTTTAGAAAAACAATGAACTACCTCTGTGAAAATACACCTTATTTCTGCATGCCACCAAAACCTGCCAGATACGCTTCACCCCTATATTTGCCCAAGATAATATTTCTGAACTATGAAGATATTTGTTTCAAAAAACATTAGAAAAGCTACTTTAGAGAAGAAAAGTTACAGACAGAATTTTACTTTTTCTTCACCTGTGTAATTAGAATTCCTATGCATAGTCTTGAAACAGGAACATTTCCTTGCCCTCTTTGCAGGCCTTGCAACAGGGGTGCCTCACTTACTCAGCATGAAGCTCTCAACCCCTCGGGGGATGGGGAGCATGCAGGTGGACAGGTGCAGGAGCTAGAGCAAGCACTTTTGGGTGACGGCAGGATCAAAACTCCATGCAGCCCCATAGCAGCATCTAGGGTGGTACCCGTGACCCCTGGAGCCCCAGAGGACATGTGTTACAGTACTCTTTTAGCCTTGCAGTCCAAGGATGGCTTGAGTGTTTAATAGCTCAATAGAACTTCAGCTTTTTCATGAAGGCAGAGGGTCAGTGTGACACTTTTCTGTATCCTGAGCTCTTGTCCAGCATCCATGAAAAATCAGGTTGTATGAACCAAGTGAGGGATAGTAAATGCAGGGGATTTTATTGCTAATGGAAGTGGCTCTCAGCAGGAGGGAGAGCTGGAAAGGGGACAGAGTGGGAAAGTATTCTTCTGCTGAAGTCCGGCTATCTCTGGCTGGACTCTTCTCCAAAGTCCTGCCATCAAGCCGTCCCTCTGAAGTCAAACTGCCTCTCTCCGATGTCAGACTGCAGTCTCTGACATGCAGCTGCTTCTCCTCTTCTCTTCTCTGCTGTCTGCCAGTGGAACCTGGGGTTTTTATGGAAACAGAATGGAGGGTGGGGTGGGCCAGTGTGGTTTTGGAAAAGGCAACATTTGAGCAGGAAAATAGGGCTTGAGTGTGGGGCTTAGCCAGGGACCCCACCCTTTTTCTTTATAGAATTTCTGTGCTTCCCATCCCTATCAGTCTCTACAGAATGTCCCAGAAATCTCCATAGTAGAGGATCATCATTACTCTGCTCCTGGCTTATATTTTATTCTGCTATAGTTTAAGCATCTTTATGGATTTTATTTGACCCAGTTTTTGAATTGTCTGTCTTATGCTTCTGTAACCTCTTTCAACATCATTTTCTTGCAGTTCCATTTACAAAACAGTCCACTATTCTTTTAAGATTAAGAATTTTATCTGCTTGACCTCATCTTCATGTTTCTGATTCTTCTGGTGTATCAAAAAAGCTTACCTGTGGCTTAGAGATTTGGTTTCCCTGATGTCTACTGGTGTCATCTGTGACTTACCGACATCTGATACTTACCTCTTTTCTTTTTTGGTAGAACGGATCTTCTAACCAAAGACGGAGATTTAATCCACAGTATCATAACAACAGGCTAAATGGGCCTGCCAAGTCGCAGGGCAGTGGGAATGAAGCCGATCCACTGGGGAAGGGCAACAACCGCCACGAACACAGAAGACAGCCACACAACAGCTTCCGGCCCAAAAACAAAGGTGGTGCCAAAAATCAAGAGGCCCCGTTGGGGATGAAGACCCCTGAGGCCCCAGCCCATTCTGAAAAGCCCCGACGAAGGCAGCACGCTGCAGACACCTCGGAGGCCAGGCCCTTCCGGGGTAGTGTTGGTAGGGTTTCACAGTGCAATCTCTGCCCCACGAGAATAGAAGTTTCCACAGATGCAGCAGTTCTCTCAGTCCCGGCTGTGACATTGGTGGCCTGAGCTAGGATGAAAAAAGAGCAGTTTTCACTCAGTTTTGGTTCCCTGCCCGAGGTGCTGACCCAATTCGCTGCCAAAAGAGAGTCAATCAGAATATACAAATCCTGTATGGTTGTGTCTCCTCTCTTAATCATTTTTACTAATTCTAATAATCAGCTCTAGCTTGCTTCATAACTTTCATGGCTTTGCTTGATCTGTTGATGCTTTCTCTCATCAAGACTTTGCAGCATTTTAGCCAGGCAGTATTTACTCATTGTTAGGAATATCAAGATGTGGCTGAAGATCAGAGGCTCAGTTAGCAACCTATGTTGTAGCAGTGATGTCAGTCCATTGATTGTCTTTAGAGAGTTAATGTTACAAAAAAGAATTCTTAATAATCAGACAAACATGATCTGCTGAGGACACATGCGCTTTTGTAGAATTTAACATCTGGTGTTTTTCTGAAAATATATATATACATATATTGCTTTATTTGAAACAAATTAAAATATGCTGCATTTGACACCTGGCTAGTTTCTTTTATTGATTGATACCCACCTACTTGTTGAATGTACTTTTCAGTGCTTTCAAAAAAACTTTAGAGACTAGAGGTTGCAGTGCAAAGCTCTGAACAATAAATAGTTTCTCTTGGGACATACTCTTTCAGAAAAAAAAAAAAAATGCCTTTTCAATTAGGTTACACACAAATAGATGGATATGCACCCTGATCATCTTAGACACACTACTTGTCAGTTGGGCAGCTGGACACGTTCATTGAAAGTACTACAAACCTCAGCTGCACCTAGCTTAAAGAGTAAGAATTTATTGGTTCAGTGAGTGAAAAGTCCAGTTGGTCCAGAGTTTCACTCCTGTCTCCCAGACTGGAGTGTAATGGCGCAATCTTAGCTCACTGCAACCTCTGCCTCCTGGGTTCAAGCAATTCTTCTGCCTCGGCCTCCCCAAGTAGCTGGGAGTATAGGCATGCGCCACCACACCTGGCTAATTTTTGTATTATTAGTAGAGACAGGGTTTCACCATGTTGTCCAGGCTTGTCTCAAACTCCTGACCTCAAGTATCTGCCCACCTTGGCCTCCCAAAATGCTGAGATTACAAGCTTGAGCCACCATATCCAGTCAGCTCCCATCTCTTGATTATCTTAGATCTCCCTTCCTCCTTGGGTTGACATTGCATTCAGAACGGTGGCAAAGGGCCACCATGCTCTTAAGACTCAAGTCTATTCCCCACACTGTCCAGAGGAGATAAGTTATCCTAGTAGCCTCTACATGGAGCAAGTGTCTTTCTCAGAAATCCCAGCAAAAGTCTTGCATACCATTGTTGGTAGGCCTGTCTCTTAAACCAATCATGGAAGGGGGAAGAGAAGTGAATGCAATGAACTAATTTACATAGACTAATCAGGGCCCACTCCTGGAGCTAGGGTGTGGCCAGCTTCCCAGAGTTCCTGAACTAGATGCAAAAGGGTACTTCTCAGGAAAGGAAAATGGATACTACGTGGCCCAAACCCCAAATATCCCCAGATCCCCTAACTTTGACTACAGAGCAGTTCAGTCTGGGCGCTGCTTCCGTTGCACTCACATGTGTCCTACAGATTTGCTGGCTACTTGCAAGGGAAAATGCTTATTCTCAGCTCAACATTAACATTTTTTCTGGCAACCCAGGTTCACTGGTTCTCTTCCACAGAGCGGCCCTGAGCAGCTGAGCCTGCAAGCCACGCAAGCATCTGTTTCTTCTTTTGCCAAGTACAGGAGGATGTTTGCTCTCTCTGTAGAGAGCTTTCTGAGGTCCCTGGGTGTACCCAGAGATTTAATAGGAATTCTAAATGTTAAGTCACATTCCAGGAAGGAAGGAAGAGTTGTTCATTCAAATAAGAAAGATAAATGTTCAGCACTGTAGGCCCTGTTTACCCCATCAGAGGCCCTGAATTTATGTATCACAAGACAGAAGGATTTTGCACAGGTTTTTATGTAGTAAGATTTTGTTCGCCACTGAAAAATGTCAGTGTAAATATGGCCGCTTCAAAGATGAGTCAAGTAGTTCTTGGAACGGGGGAAAAAATGAAGTTGTCAGGTCAGGAGTGCACCTGCCTTTGTCAGAGTTGAACCCAACCGCTCTTAACCTTGACTCACCCCCTCAGGGTTAAAAAAGCCCAAACACATTCCTGAGCACACAGCAAACACTCCCATGTCACTAAAAGAAACAAAAGAATGCTAAAAAGTGTTCAGACCTGATTATATTTTTTCCTTTTTTTTCTTCTTGAGACAGGATCTTGCTCTATCACCTAGGCTGAATTGCATGATCATGGCTCACTACAACCTTGAACTCCTGGGCTCAAGCCATCTTCTCACCTCAGCCTCCCAAGTAGCTGGGACTACAGGTTTGCACCACAACGTCCCAGCTAATTTTGTTAATAGAAACGAGGTCTCACTGTGGTGCCCAGGCTGGTCTCAAATGCCTGATCTCAAGCGATCTTCCTGCCTTGGCCTCCCAAAGTGTTAGAATTATAGGCATGTGCCACCTCACCTGGCTGATTTTTGCCTTTGTTATAGACCCTGGGCATGTGAGCATTTATTAATTTGCATTTTTGAAACAATAATTTCAATAACAGTGTCAGGCCACTTAAACACCATATTACATGTCTTCATCTGTCTGGTGGAACTATTGGTGTGATCCTGGAGATCTGAGTCCTATTCTGCCATTCTTTTAAAATGTTTTAAACTCTAACCTCTCTACTTAATGCACAGTAGTCAGAAAAATAGATTCTTCTCTCTTAAACATTTGCCTAGTAGAAGTTAAAATAGTTTAATATTCAGGAAGATTGAATAACTTCAAACTCACATTGTAGCATATAGATCCTCCACCAAGACTTCATCCTTGAAATCCACTCCTTCCTGTTGGGTTCCCAATTACATTCCAGATTTACATTTCTTTTGAGAATCTCTGCATACTCCAGCTCTGTCCTGTTGATCCTATTCTAGAAGTGCTTAATACAGCAAGGCACAGAAAGTTAAACGCAAATTGCCGCAAAATTCACCCTCAATGGAGGACTAGAAACACAACATGCTCAATTTAAAGCTCAATTCACAAGCAGTTCAATTCTGCTGGCATCAGAAAAAGAGATTCTAATTAAACATTCTTAGGGAAGGACATCAAATGAGGTTAATGGGAAACATTACCAGATTAAAAGTAGTTTTTTGCCAAAGTAACAGATTGGAAATTCTGACTCTCTGAAAGCCTTAATTTGAACCTCAAACTTGATTTCACCATGAGAAGTGGGGATCAAGGGCCTCCGCAGTTCTTTTCCTAGACCAGTTCAGTGCTCCCCAGCCCCACACAGGCACAGGTCCACAACCAGATAGAGAGATGCCTGAATTCCAGGCTACCTTTGACAAAGCTTTCTCCTTCCTTCCTTCCCTCCCTTTGCACGCTGCATCCCACACTGCCTGTTTAAAGCGCCCTCATGTGTCTACAGATGACAAAAGGTTTATTTCTCAACAGACATTCCAGTGACAGCATCCAATGACCTATGTAAGGGCACCCTTTCTTGCCGTACTTGTTTCAGAGGTCCTACCTAAAATTCAGGCTTGGGTGGGCTTGGACTCCAGACTGGCCCCAGGTACTGAAAAGTGAAGCAAAGGAAAAGAGTCAGTCACTTGTTCTTAAATTTCTTAAGCAAACTATAAAATAGCAAAAGACCCCACCACATACCAAAAAGGGGAAAAAAGCAATTCACCTGACTAATACATTGTTCCAGCATTTCCTTGAAAGTACTGAGCTATCTCAATTGCTCTGATTTTGTGAGAAAATTAAGAAGAGTTGCTAAGTCCCGTTGCCTCTCTTGTTACTTAGCTAAGAATTTGAAGCATAATTTAAATACTATTCTTTACAATCCATTATGAGGATTTTAAAAATCTTTTTTTTTTTTTTTGAAATGGAGTGTCGCTCTGTTGCCCAGCTGGAGTGCAATGGCGCAATCTCAGCTCACTGTAACTTCTGCCGCCTGGGTTCAACTGATTTTCCTGCCTCAGCCTCCCAAGTATCCGGGAGGACTACAGGCTCATGCCACCATGCCCAGATAATTTTTTGTATTTTTAGTAGGGATTGGGTTCACCGTATTAGCCAGGTTGGTCTCAATCTGACCTCATGATCCACTCACCTCGGCCTCCCAAAGTGCTGGGATTATAGGCGTGAGCCACCGCACCCGGCCTTTTTAAATGAATTCTAACAAAGTTTTCTGTTTATTCTTAGTTTCAAAGAACCAGGTCCCCAGTCTTGAGAGGCTGCTCAGCAGAGCCCAGTGCTTAATCTCATTATAGCAGCCCTGCAGGCAAAGGCTCTCCGGTCTGAATCCAGTCTTTCTATCTGAGAAACACATAATGCTGCTCTCATCACTCAGGGTTCTTACACATTATCAGTGATTAATTATCAGAAGCCCCTTTGTCCGAAAACTCTGTTTTTTCCCACAGCTCAGAGGAGCTTCTGGGGCTGCCACTAAGTTTCAGTTTCAAAGGAAGAATTGCCACAAACAACTTTTACAGAATAATAAGTACATTCTAAAGCAAATTTGGCTGAGAAATTATGTAGATTTCTGGCAAAAAAACAAAAACAACAAAAACATTATTTCAAAAGAATGACTGTGATAATGGCCAAAGAACTTCTACAGAAAACAGCAATTTAGAAAGTGCTCCCTATAAAAACAGGTATCTTTTTTTTTGTTCTGAGATAGGGTTTTACTCTGTCGCCCAGGCTAGAGTGCAGTGGTGTAATCACAGCTTACTGCAGCCTCCACCTCCTGGGCTCAGGCAGTTCTCCAGCCTCAGCCTCCCAAGTAGCTGAGACTAGAGACACACGCTACCATGCCTAAGTTTTGTACCGTTAGTAGAAACAGGGTTTCGCCATGCTGTCCAGGCTGGTCTTGAACTCCTGAGCTCAGGCAATCTGCCCACCTCGGCCTCCCAAAGTGTTGGGATTACAGGCTTGAACCACCACGCCCAGCCAGCTATACTGTTTTTAACTTCAGATACTTAGATTTGAACTTGATTAAATTGTTCCTAGTCCTTTGAAAGAACACACTTTCTGTAAATTAGCATCATTGCGTAACAAGCCATCCAATAACACCATTACTCCTCTGCCAACACCTGACATATGGTAGGTACTCAATAAACACTGATTAGAAGAGAGAGAAGCTATGAATAGGTGACCAACTCCAATACCTCCAGAAAATTCTGGAGTCTAAATGGCTTGTGCAGAGTAACCCAGTAAAACAATCCTAGAGAAAATACAAGGAGAGAGCAGAGAAGCTGAAGTAACTGACCCTCAAGGCCACCTATCTGGATTCGAGCCCTGTCTCCACCACTTCCCAGCTGTGTAAACCTGGGCACATTTCTAAACATATCCTTACCTTGGTTTCTCCATGGGTGAATGGGGCAGGTAACTGGAGTTACCTCACAGTTGTTATGAGGATTGAACAGTTAATATTTGCAAAGCATTTGGAATAATGCCTGGCAC